CGGCCACTGCACTCCAGTCTGGGCGACAGAGTGAGACTCCAACTCAAAAACAAACAAAGAAACAAACAAGTATCTAGAACTATAGGTACGTGCTACCGCACCTGGCTAATTTTTTGATTTATTGTAGAGATGAGGTCTCGTCAAATTGCCCGGGCTGGTCTTAAACCCTTGGTTTTAGGCAGTTCTCTCACCTCGGCCTTCCAAAGTGCTGGAATTACAGGCTTGAGCCATCACGCCAACCCTATATACTGATTTTAAACAGATGTTAAAATGTGCCAGATGCTATTTCAGACACTGGAGATAATAGCTGTGTACAAGGCAGCAGGTTGCTCTCAAGGAGTTTAGATTCTGGTGAAGAGAAACAACAAAGTCAGTAAATAAAATATAAGATAGTGGAAGTTGTTATGTGGAGAATTATTGCAGGGTGATGTGATTATTGGAAGGCTGATTTTGGTCATGTGATTGGGGTAGGAAAAAGTCTGAATGGCAAGAAGCAGCCAGCTGTGCAAGGATTGGGCTTGAGCTTCCAGGCAGTGGGAACAGCCTAGAACAAAAGACCCCACGCAGGAACCAAAGCCCAGGATACAGTGGCTTGTGGGTGAGTAGAAAATGAGGTCGTTGAGGCCAGAGTTTATGGTCCAGGGCAGTTCGTTTGCAGTGTAATGAAAAGTGATTGCAATAGGCCGGGTGCAGTGGCTCATGTTTATAATCCCAGCACTTTGGGAGGTGGAGGTGAGAGGATTGCCTGAGCCCAGGGTTTTGAGACCAGCTTGGCAACTTGATGAGACCTCGTCTCTGCAATAAATAAAAAATAAAAATTAGGTGTAGTGGCATGCACCTGTAGTTCCAGCTACTTGGAAGGCTGAGATGAATCGCCTGAGCCTAGCAGGTTGAGGCTGTGGTGGCCCTGAGTGTGCCACTGCACTCCAGCCTGAGCAGCAGTGAGACTCTGACTCAAGAAAAAAGGAAAGTGATTGAAGTGTTTCAAATAGGGGATTGACAGAAAATGATGATTTAAAAGTTTCTGTCTTGGGAGAAGAAAAGCTCACTTATGACTATTGCGTGGAGACTGGATTGTACTTGGGGTAAGTATAGAAATGGAAATCAGGAGGTGCTTACAGACAGGATGATTGTAGCTCAGATTAGGGTGGTGATGGAGAGAAATAGATTTGTTACATATTTGGTAGTAGGTAAGGAGAATGTCTAGAAATTGAAAAAAATTTTTTTTAATTTCAAGCTTGCTTTGGAACGTCAGAAAACTGCAGAGAAAGAGCGATTGTTTCTTGTATATGCTAAGCAATGGTGGAGAGAATATTTACAAATCCGTCCCTCGCACAACTCACGACTGGTTAAGATTTTTGCACAGGTTTGTAAATTATATTAGAAAAGTTTAATGCTTGTATTTGAGACCTACTGTGATATATGTAAATTCCACTTACTTTATATTTAATTGCATTTATTTAAGAAAAAAACAAAATCATTTATTTGTTTAAAAAAATACTGATTCTGTGATATTCTCTTTCACTGATTAGGTGAGTGGCATAATACAATCTGTTCTTATTTTACTTTTAATTTCAATTATTGTGTTTTAAACCCTTTCTGAATATATTTGATTTAAAGTAGATGAAAATTTATTTTGTTTAACTTGGAGTGTGACCTTGCTTGATATTTAGAATTAAAAATTTTTTTTTTTTTTAATTGGAGTCTCACTCTGTCACCCAGACTGGAGTGCAGTGGCCGCTCCCGGCCACCGCAGCCTTGACCTGCTGGGCTCTGGAGATCCTTCCGCCTCAGCCTTCCAAGTAGCTGAAACTACAGGCGCGCGCAGCCACGCCCGGCTAATTTTTGATTTGTTGTAGAGTTGAGGTCTCGCCAAGTTGCCCAGGCGGGTCTCGAACCCGCGGGCTCAGGAAATCCACTCACCTCAGCCTCCCAAAGCGCTGGGATTACAGGCTGAGCCACCGAGCCTGGCTAGAATTAATTTATTAACCACTTGGACACTTTATATGTAAATTCAGCTCTTTTGTGCAGAATTGGGTCTCTGGACGTAAGTATTTTTTTGTTAGAGTTTTTCTTTTTTAAACAGACATATTATATATAATAATTCTATATAACCAAGATCTCTAAACCAATGACTGGTAATGTTTATCTGCAGCATTTCACCTATATATCTCTACCTTTCTTTTTCTCAAATCTTTTTTTTTTTTTGAGTTGGAGTCTCACTCTGTCGCCCAGACTGGAGTGCAGTGGCCACTCCCGGCCACCACAGCCTCGCCTGCTGGGCTCTGGCAATCCTCCGCCTCAGCCTTCCAAGTAGCTGGAACTACAGGCGCACGCTACCATTTTTCTCCAATCTTAAATCCATTTTCTATCTTTAACAAACCAACATAAAATATGTGTTCAGATCTATGTAATTTCCTAGGAATCATTCAAATGCTATATATATATATATATATATATTCAGCCTCATATAGATGTTTTTATATAAGTACAATGTAGTATTATTTTGATTACATATCTTAAATCTTATGCATGTATCTAACTTTACTCTATTTTCCCTAGATTTTAGGACAGGCTAAAAGTGGTACCATTTCTAGATTGGGAGCTTGGGAATGAGAGACCCTAGTTGGCTAGTGGTGGGAATAAGGCAAATGGATTCTGACTTTCCAGTAGTGTTTTGTACGTTGAATGACTGGGTCAGCAAGATAGTAATGATGTCAGGACAAAAACAAGGAGAAACCAGTCAAAATATAACTGGTTCCTTGTTGTCCATCTAGTCTGAGGGTCAGTTATTTATTGCAACATGGAGCCTGGGACCAGAGAGGACTCAGGAGGGATAAGGTAGCAGATCAGAGAAATGGCAGATCAAAGAGGAGGAAGAGGTTGAGATACCACTAAGGAACTCAGTTTTAAAATTTAAAATCTGGGATTTTCTTTTAGGAAATATTAGCTAAACAAGTTTCTGTCTCTTAGAATTCACTGTAAGAAGATTTGAACCATGTAAGGTCAGTTAGTCTCAGTAACCATATAAGATTTCAAGTGGCCGGGCATTGCCTCTTTTTGTAAACAGTATGCAGGATAGAGACGTGAAGTGAAGAGTCCAGACAGCAGCTTGGTCATGGCAGAGTCTCTATTAAATTGCAGTTTTGAGCTGGGCTCGGTGGCTCAGCCTGTAATCCTGCGCCTTGGGAGGCTGAGGTGAGTGGAATGCCTGAGCCTGCGAGTTCGAGACTCACCTGAGCAACTTGGCGAGACCTCGTCTCTGCAATAAATCAAAAATTAAAATTAGCCAGGCATGGTAGTGCGTGCCTGTAGTTCTGACTACTGGAAGGCTGAGGCGGAAGGATCGCCGGAGCCCAGCAGGTCAAGACTGCGGTGGCCAGGAGCGTGCCACTGTGCATGCCAGTCTGGGCGACAGAGTGAGACTCCAACTCAAAAAAAAATGAAAAATGTTTTTGCTGTGTAGAAAGACATCAGTGGTTCTGGTATTTCAAAAGATGGTGTTTTGATTGACTGAGTTAGATCTTATGTCCTGAGGATCCCTGCCGTGGTAGAGTATTAAGTTATCTCCAACTCTTGTAAGTGGCCCTTTCACTTTGCCGTATTAGTAACTTTGAAATTTAGGAAAATGTGGGCTTTTTATTGTTACAAACAGGCCAGCATGGTGGCTCACACCTATAATCTCAGCACTTCAGAAGGCTGAGGCAGGAGGATTGCTTGAGCCCAGGACCAGCCTAGGCAGCATACCAAGACCTCAAAAAATCCAAAATTTAGTTGGATGTGGTAGCATGTGCCTATGGTCCCTGCTAGTTGGGAGGCTGAGGCCAAAGGATTACCTGAGCCCAGGAGGTAGAGGCTGCAGTGAGCCATGATCAGACCATTGCACTCCAGCTTGGGTGACAGAGTGAGACCCCAACTCAAAAAAACAAAATAAAACCAAAAATGCCCCACAGTGGTGGACAGTCATCAGAGACATTTATATGCACAATAGTTATTAAGCACAAGCACTTGGATACCTCCTGTATTTAGAGTGTAAAACTTTTTCTAAAATGTTTTTCAAGGCCAGGAGTGATGGCTCATACCTTTAATCCCAACACTTTGGGAGACTGAGGCAGAAGGATTACCTGAGCCGAAAAGGTCAAGGCTGTGGTAAGCTGTGCCACTGACCTCCAGCCTGGGCAACAGAATGAGACCCCGACTTAAGAAATTTAAAAAATGTTTTCCAAAATTCTGCTTTCAGTTGACTTGGTTAACAAATTGTTATTTCCTCTGGATCTCTAAATTTGATGCCCTAATGGAAACTAAAATTAAACTCTGATCGTTGTTATATCAGTCCGTCAGAAAAGTTATTTGTCCTGTCTGGATATAGATTGTTCAATTCTGTGTGGTAATGTAGATGAATACTTCAGCTGAGAGCATTTCTCCTCCCCCACCTACCTGGCCATTCTTTTTTCAGAGGTGCTCTCATGTCACCTGCTTTGGAGTCTGCTCAGGCTTTGAATCTTGGCTCCGTTTCACAAGAGCTGTAGCTTCAGTGTTTTTCATCTGTTACATGGAAATAATAGCGATGTTATGAGAATTAAAAGAAATTATATGCAGACCGGAGAGTCAGTGTCTTCTTCCTTCCAGCTCTGAGGAAAAAAAAAAGAAATTATATGCACAGAACTGAGTAGCACCCTAGCGTTTGACGTAAGGTCAGCACTCAGTAATACATTAACGAGTCCTAAAGAAAAGAATTTTAAAGTTGGGATGATAAATCTGTCATTACAGATCATATTTTCCTTTTCTTCCCTTCAGGATGAAAATGGGATCAATAGACCAGTCTGTTCCTATGTTAAACCACTTCGAGCTGGGCGACTTCTTGATACTCCAAGACAAGCAGCAAGATTTGTTAATGTTCTTGGTTATGAGCGAGCTCCTGTTATTGGAGGAGGAGGTAAACAGGAACAGTGGTGCACTCTACTGGCCTTTCTCTGTAGAAACAAGGTATCATATACACATAGTTGAATTAAATAGTAGTACATCGTGGTTATTCTGAATCTGTAATACATTTGTAAAAGAATATTGACTGGGCACAGTTGCTGATGCCTGTAATCCCAGCACTTTAGAAGGCCAAGGCAGGAGGATTGCTTGAGCCCAGGAGTTTGAGACCAACCTGGGCAACAGAGTGAGACCCCCTCTCTACAAAAAATTTAAAAAATCAGGTGTGGTGGCATTTGCCTGACCTAACTCCTCAGGAGCCTGAGGTGGGAGGATTGCTTGAGTTTGAGTGTTCAGAGCTGCAGTGAGCTATGATCATGCCACTATGCTCCAGCCTTGGTAACAGAGAGAGACTTTGTCTCTATTTTAAAAAAAGACAAAGAAAAGAAAGAGAACCTTAGACAAATGTACATACGAAGTGAGACCCCAAAAAACCCAGAACTTATTTATAACAAATTGTGTCTTTATTCTTACATGTTTAAACGTCAGGTCACTGTCAAAATACTCTCCATTTGATTCAATACATCTATTGAGATGTTTTTTCCACTGTTCAAAACAGGTTTTGAACTCGTCAATTTTTATGCTTTTTAGTTTCACCTCTTCAATATCACAACACATTTCCCTTTGAGGACTTGGAGTGTGGTGGCACAATCATAATTCCTTGTAGCCTAAACTCCCAGACTCAGGTTATTCTCCTGCCTCAGGCTCCAGGGTAGCTAGGACTACAGGCACACCACCATGACTAGCTTTTTGTTCTTTTTTTTTGGAGAGTTGGGGTTCTCACATGTTGCACAATCTGGCCTCTACTTCCTGGGCTCAAGTAATTCTCCTGCCTCGGCCTCCCACAGTGCAGATTACAGGTGTGAGCCATCACTTTGCCATGAATTTCTCTTTATATTTTTATTTTTCTCCTGCTTATGTATTGTTTATTCCATAATTAAGATATAAATAAAGCTTTGTCTTTATAATTTAACATTATGCTATGAACATTTTTCCATGTGTTGTCATCATTGTGATTTCCATTTTTCCCTATTGTAGGAAGTATTTCTTTTGGCCAAGTTAGGCTTGCTTCCAATTTTTTGATATTATTGTGAATGCACTTTTATTTATTTATTTATTTTTTTGAGTTGGAGTCTCACTCTGTCGCCCAGACTGGAGTGCAGTGGCTGCTCCTGGCCATCGCAGCCTCGACCTGCTGGGCTCCGGTGATCTTTCCGTCTCAGCCTTCCGAGTAGCTGGAACTACAGGCATGAGCTACCACACCCGGCTACTAACCCGATTTTTTTGATTTATTGTAGAGATGAGGTCTCGCCAAGTTGCCCAGGCAGGTCTCGAACCCGCCGACTCAGGCAATCCACTCACCTCAGCCTCCCAAAAGCGCAGGATTACAGGCTGAGCCACCGAGCCCGGCTGTGAATGCACTTTTAAATTGAGTATCTTTGTGTATATAAGTATTTTACTTTTGAATTTTTTTTTAAGGACAAAATATCAGAAATTATTGGGTCTAACAGAGGTTGGCTATTATATTTTTGTAAGCTCAGTTTAATAATTATAAAATACTTTTTGTTTTATTATAGTTAATTTTTTAAAAAACAGTGTAGAGCCACTAATGCAAATATTTTGGAAAAAACAATTCTAACATTCAGCTCAGTAGTAATTTTTGTTATTGCATATTATCTGTAGTCTTCCTACACTTAAATAATGTCTCTACATAATTGTAGCTATCCTGTTTAACATTTTAGTAATTTTTTCACAGAACATTATCAGATACTTTCTATTGTTTCTGTAAAAGTCTTCATAATTTTTTAAAATTGCAAACATAATATAATTATATCAGGAGGAATTTGGAAAATTATATACGTAAGTTTGTTCAGTAATAGCTATTGTTGGCATTTTGTTCTTCCTCCTGATCATTTGTCCTGTGTGCATATTTCCTTGAAATGATCACATATGGGTGCCGTAAGTCATTGGTTTGAGTGATTTTTCCATTTATTTGCATTTCCTGCTGTATTTGTTGGCTTATTTGTTCATGTCCTCCAGCTATCAACATGTTAGTACTTGTATTTCTGTGTTGTATGAATTCCTTACACGATTTTGGATCTGAATGCCCCCTATCAAGATAAATACACATGTTATGACTGTCAGATTTGTGACTACTAACTTTGTAAAATAATTCAGGCTCTTCTAAAATTAGCATATAGAATTTTTTCCTCATTATTTCAACACTGGACTAATGATTAAAAGTGAAACTTTTTTTTTTTTGAGTTAGAGTTACTGTGTTGCCCAGGCTGGAGTGCAGTGGCACGCTCATGGCCACCGCAGCCTCCACTTGTTGGGCTCAGGCAGTCCTTCCACCTCAGTCTTCTAAGTAGCTGGAACTACAGTCGTGAACCACTACAACACCCAGCTAATTTTTTTATTTATTATAAAGACACTGTCTTACCAAGTTGTCCAGGCTGGTCTCAAACCCCTGAACTCAGGTAATCCTCTCGCCTCTGCCTCCCAAAGTGCTGGGATGACAGGTAGTGAAACATTTTAAAATAAATTTTATTGTAATTTTGTATTTAAGTAGTTTATGAGGAAACCATATGCGATATAAATACTTTGTATTATTTTCTCTTGGAGGGTGACTGTGAGGACCACGCAAATCTTCTGTGCAGCCTTCTTCTTGGATATGGCTTGGAGGCCTTTGTCTGTGTTGGGACTAAGGCAAAAGGAGTACCTCATGCATGGGTCATGACTTGTGGGACTGATGGAACCATCACTTTTTGGGAGAGTTTAACAGGACACAGGTTAGTCTGCTAAGGTTACAAGGGTATTAAAATGAAGATATAAATGTTCTAAACTGAAGGGGTTTATTATTTGTCTTGATTATACTTGAAGGTAGAGTTGGTTTTAATACTTAATAATTTTAATAATTAGAGCCTTTTTGATAACTTTTTTTTAAAAAGGCTTCCGTTATTGCAGCTAAGTAAAATGAACGTTAAGAAAATTTGTATCCTTAAAATATTCTTTACCAACATAATGTTGGTGAAAAGTAAACCATATTTACTTTTAGTTGTTTATAATTGGTGTATGTTTTTTTCTTTTTTTGTTTTTTTTGAGTTGGAGTCTCACTCTGTCGCCCAGACTGGAGTGCAGTGGCCACTCCCGGCCACCGCAGCCTCGACCTGCTGGGCTCTGGCGATCCTTCCGCCTCAGCCTTCCGAGTAGCCAGAATTACAGGCGCGCGCTACCACGCCCGGCTGATTTTTTGATTTATTGTAGCGATGAGGTCTTGCTGCCCAGGCGGGTCTCGAACCCGCGGGCTCAGGCAATCCACTCACCTCAGCCTCCCAAAGGCGCGGGATTACAGGCTGAACCACCGAGCCCAGCTTGTTTTTTTCTAATGATGATTCTTAAGCCTGAAAATAAGTTCAGGTTGGAAATCATGACTTATTTTGGAAATTTGGTATGGTCACTGGACATTTTTCAGTACTTTAGCCTGTCATCAGATTTTGAAAGAGTTGAGTACTTCCTCCTTCCTAGAATGTTTTCTTTCCTTAGCTTCTCTCATTACTGTCTTTCAAGTTCTGTTATTCCACTCTGGCTGTTCTTTCTCAGTTTTCCTTCATTGTGTTTTGGAGGCACAGCCCTGTGCTCTCTTCTTAATTTGTTGGATCTTCTTTCTTCTTGGTTGATAATCATTTTGGCTAGTCATACCTAATAACATATAGCCAAATTAATTAGTTAATTAATTTTATTTTAAAGATGTGGGGTTCAATTCAGGGTTAGGCATACAAATGTGCATTATGCAGGTTTCCCTTGTTAGCCAAATTAATTTAATGGTGTTATCTGAGGTAAACTTTTTGAATCTTAACATTATATACAGAACATATTCTGTTGTTAAAAGAATAGAGTTAGTTTTAAGATTATAAGATGTACCATACAATTAATATAATGTAATCAAATTTTAGAAATAGAAGCAAAACAAGTATTAAAAAACTCTAGCTCTGGTAAGTAGTTATAACCTTAAGTCTTAGAATAACTTTTTTCTTAGTAAGACACTGCCTCCTTATTTTTGGGGTTCTCATTATATAAAATTATTTAATTTTTTTAGGTATATCCACAAGCCTGTCAATCCTGATGAACCTCCACTTGCTGAACAACCCAAACCATTGTACCCATATCGAACAATTGGTTGTGTTTTCAATCATCAGATGTTCCTGGGAAATTGTCAACCCTCTGATGCAGTAGAAACCTGTGTATTTGATTTGAATGATGAATCCAAGTGGAAACCCATGAGTGAAGAAGCAATTAAATCTGTGTGTGCTCCAGGAGCGACAACATCCCTTCCTCCCTTTCCACCTCTGTGTGCATCCACAATTGATGCATCAGTAGCAAGTAATGAAATAGAAATGCAGCTGAGGCTCCTGGTATCCGAACACAGAAAGGTAATGAGCACAGAAGCAGTAATCATTTCATACTTTCTTTCATTTGTTTAAGTATTTATGTATTGGTGTGTTTTATAGTACCAATCACTATTTGCCTTGAACAAAGCAAACACAGTCCCTATCTCTATGAAGCTTATAATTTCAAGTCATGAGAGTCATGTTTCAAGGCTTAATAACTTCCAAATCTCCTAATACTTACAGAATGTATTCTTCCTAGAAATGAAGAATGATGGACTTGTTTACATCTTAGAGACAGGTTTTTGCCGAATATCACTATATGGATTTCCTCTTTATGAAATGCTTATTGAAATAATCACCTCTTTAAAAATATTGCATTATTTATTTTTTCATGTTGTTTTCCCCCCACCAGGTTGGTTTCTGATTGTTTTCCTATTGAGTAGATATAACATGAGATCCTCATTCTGTCTTTAATTTGCATTTCTCTGATTAATAATGAGATCAAGCCTCTTGTTTAGTAGCATGTAGTTTTCCTTTGTAAAGTAGCTTCAAGAAAACATAAAAAGCATTAATCATAAAGGAAAAGATTACTATGTTGTAAGGACTTAAATTCACCAAAAGAAAACATTAAGACACGGAAGCCGTGGAGTGGGAAAATTATTTATAACATATATAACCAACAAAGGACTAAAATTCAAAATTCCTACAGAAGAGTTTTATCTTCCTTTTGGGGATCCCTATTCTATTCCCCACTTGGGTGAGCCCTGTATTCTGTTCTTTGAGGCTGTCGAAGGCAAATTGGCTTATCAAATATGTTCTCTGGGTTCCCAGTTACTCTTAGCTTTGACCTCATATTCCTTATTTACTTGCCAACTCGTTGAAGTGCTTAAAAGTATATTTTGTAAAATCTGGCATTTGTAGCGTGTTTTCAGCAGCAGTGTTGGTCAGGAGACCTAGTCCATTGTGCTGCTAGAAGTGAAAACCCCTTATTACTTTCTCTTTCCTTATATCACATGTACTGCCTTTGTTGGTCACTAGCTATGTCAGTGATGTCTGTCAATCAGCAAATAAGAATCACATCTTGTTGCAGGAAAAGTAAGTTGACCTTTGAGATCACTTGTGAACATTTAAAACCTTGAATGTGAAATTAGAAAGTTCTAAAGATCTGTTATGAAAATAAAAATATTTAGAATTTTGGGAAGTTTTTATATTTGTAACTGGGTATTTTTTTACTTCACGTATCTAGATGTCAATGGCTCATTTGTTGTTAAATGTGAATCATACTGCTTTTAACATTCCATAGAAACATATGTTTTAAGCTCCTTGTTAAAACATATGTAGCATGTAGTCTCACCTTTTTATCTTACAGTATAAAAGTTTTACAGAGTGAATGCTCAATAAATATTTGTTAGTTACATCCAGAATTAATTAGTTTACTTTTCTCCCCTACTGCAGGTTAGTTTGTGATAGAAGTAATCAAATTAAATGGATTTAATCTTACTAAACTCTTTAAAGTTAAAAAAATAGGATCTCACAATTCACTGTCTTGTATATGAGGACTAGTATCCCATATGGTCTTTTCTAGTAGTCAATAGTAAAGAAGGGTAGAATTTGGAGTCTTCATGAATATCTTTGTATTGAATTTTTTAAGTTATTTCTCTAAAAGTAAAACCTGGTCACCAGTCCTTTTATCTTTTTTTTTTTTTTGTCAGTCTCACTCTGTCACCTGGGCTGGAGTGCAGTGGCACACTCACGGCTACCAGCAACCTCAACCTGCTGGGTTCACGTGATCCTTCTGCCTCAACCTTCCAAGCAGCTGGAACTACAGGCGCATGCCACCACACCCAGCTGATTTTTTGATTTATTGTAGAGATGAGGTCTCTCCTAGTTGCCCAGGCTGGTCTTGAACCTGTGGGCTTAGGCATTCCTCTCACTTCAGCTTCCCAAAGTGCTGGGATTATAGGCGTGAGCCACCACGCCCAGCCAAGTCCTTTTATCTTGTTGTTATTCCTGTGCATCCCTATAATAATTAATAGAAAGTTTAAAAAATATGACAGCTTTTTAAAATCTTGGCAACACTAAAACAATCAACATTTTTATTTAATTGGTTTTTAAAACTTTAATGTATTTCACTTTTTCGGTTTCTCTTTTGATTGTTATAGGATCTTGGCCTCACTACTGTTTGGGAAGATCAGCTCTCCTACCTTTTATCACCAGCATTGGCTTCTTATGAATTTGAGCGTACAACAAGTATATCAGCAGGCAATGAAGAATTTCAGGATGCCATAAGGAGGGCTGTACCCGATGGGCACACATTTAAAGGGTTCCCAATACATTTTGTGTATAGGAATGCAAGACGTGCATTTGCCACATGTCTTAGGTAATGTGTAATTTATGGAATCTTATAGAGATCATTTGTCTGGTAGTTATTTAGGAATGACATTAGAGTCACATGGGGAGTTTTTACAATGACTTAGCCTCCTTACCACAGATTTTGGTCATCTAAAATGTTAGGTCTGAAATGTAGCCCTTGATAGTGTGAGAAAATTTCCACAGTGATTTTGGTGCAATCTCAGTGGAGGTTTTAAAAAATTTATAGACTGTGAGGAAGTAGTCTATAATTTAAATAACTTGATCAAATTTATAGTGTCTCTGGTAGCAGGGACAGGATTTCTTTCTTTCTTTTTTTTTTTTCTGAGTTGAAGTCTTGCTTTGTTGCCAGGCTAGAGTGCAATGGCACGCTCACAGCTACTGCAGCCTGCTGAGCTCAGGTGATCCTTCTGCCTCAGCCTTCCACACAGCTGGATCTCTAGGTGTGTACCACCATGCCTGGCTAATTTTTTTTATTTATTGTAGAGACGAGGTCTCACCAAGTTGCCCAGGCTGATCTTGAACCCCTGGGCTCAGGCAGTCATCTTGCCTCTGCCTCCCAAAGTGCTGGGATTGCAGGTGTGAGCCACCATGCCCGGCAGAGACAGGGTTTTTAAAAATTATTATTATTATTATTATTTATTTTTTTTTTGAGTTGGAATCTCACTCTGTTGCCCAGACTGGAGTGCAGTGGCCGCTCCCGGCCACCGCAGCCTCGACCTGCTGGGCTCCGGCGATCCTTCC